CCACCGGAGAGGAATAAGATCCCCGGCAGATCGCATCGGCAGTACCGCCTACTCGAGTGCCTAGGAAAAGAGCGCGCCGGTGCTTCCGATCATGCCAGATTTCAGTCCACCAATGAACAAAGAAGGCAACTTGCAGGTTAAACTAAACCCAAACAGTTTGCTGGGGTTCTGCATACCAGGTATGCTAGTTTAGAACTTCAGTCTTCAGATTAGATGTATGTGTGGCTGGTGAAGCTCACTGGAAACGGAAGCTCTAACCCCGGCTGAATTGGTTGGTCAGTCACATCCACATATAACTATCCACATAACTAAGCCCAACAAACATGATCTAAAGAAAAACATCTCTTCTCCTTGGCTCAGCACCAGGAAAAGAATCCACTCCAACAACCATGTCAAAGCAAATCCATCGGCGAAAACCTACAGGCATGATAACACTACTACCTCCGTCTCAGTGAATAAGTCCATCGGCAAAGACCTAGAACTACGCGAATGACTTATTCACCTAGACGGAGGTAGTACCAGGCATGATAACACTACCGGATCCTACAATTATTTGCTAGTCATCCTGGCATATATAGAGCGCGCTAAAAGAAGAATATCTAGAATTGTCAAACTGTGACGCCACGCTTGTATGTCGATCCAAATGTAGTTGGATGCTTGAAGCAAAAGGAAACACGCACACGAGCACGGGACAAGGGTGTATTAAAAACCAGAAGAAAATGTATCGACATCAATATCAATAATGGTACAAAAATATGGGACAAAGGGTGTATGATGATATTTAACTCGGGATCAAGTTTCTACAAGGCAAGCTAAATAATAAACACATATCTGACATTTCAACCTCGGTACCATCCATGAGTTTTAAATATACAGAGGGGCTACACAAATGATGAGTTCTCGATTCGGAAGTTTTTACTGAGCTTTTTAGACAACTATATATTTATTCAAAAATTAAGACAAGCAATTGGAACTGTAATCCAACACTTCATTCACAGGCCTTCCTTCCACCCCCAGCTTGCTGCAACATCGGCAAATGGACTCTCCAGGACCAAATCAGAAACTCCCCCTCAGGCTCGGCAACACAGGGACGAACATAGTACCGGTTTGATCTTATTTTGGACCCCCACCCCTAATCACAAGTCCAGATGCATGCTTGATTTGATCCCGAATGCACAGCTGACCAATCACAATATCCAATGTTTGCCATCGACTTGCGCAACTTGTAATAACAATAATGATAAGTAACAGCAGGATTACCTCTAGGATACGCAGCATAACAGAATTCACCAATCCTTCGCTATGAACCACCACGGTTCTGATTCATGTCAGCCTGACCGCCGGCATCAGGTGCTCCCATGGGCTGCTGATACTGAGGTGGCAATGATGCTGGTGGTGCTCCTGCCTGGGAGTAGAAGACCTGTGCGCGGGGATCAGCAGCATACTCGGGGTACCCATAGTTTCCCGCCATGGTCGGCGGAGGCTGCGATGCAGGATGGTGGTGGGATTGCATTACATGGTGGTACCCCATTCCAGCATAATTAGGGGTCGTGTTAGGCCCTGGAGCAGCGGCAGCAGGTGCCGCGGTTCGGTACATGCCAGGTTGCTGCAATTCAGGCTTCATATATTGCTGAGGAATCGGCACGGTTGGCTTCGGTACGCTGTCAACAAGTGTCGGAGCAGCCATAGGGGCTACCGCACCAGCAGGAATGGTATACTGCTGAGGTGCATTTGGACGCTGCATAGGGATGTAATACATGCCAGTATTTGGGTCAAATGCAGGCGACTGCTGTTGCTGCGGCGCTTGCTGAGGGACAGTCTGTTGGTAATAAGATTGGATTGGAATGAATGTGCCCGTGGCTGGGTTGTGAATGAAATGCTGATTTCCAGCGGTGACATATTGCTGTGGAGCTGGCTGGTGTGCTTGCTGCGGCTGCGGAGGCTGCTGCTGTGCTTGCTGCTGTAATTGCGGCGGCAATTGCTGCTGTGGCTGCTGCTGTATTTGTTGTGGCAATTGCTGCTGAGCTTGCTGTTGTAACTGCTGCTGCTGCTGTAATTGCTGCTGCTGCTGTAATTGCTGCTGAGGTGGCTGCTGTAACTGCTGTTGTGGCTGCATCTGCGCATAGACATAACCAGGCGGTGGCTGTGCAGCGGCTGCCGATGCGGCAGCATCCGGAGCTGGCGCTGGAGCGCGATAGCTGGCGGCATCAGTTCCCACCGGCATGTCTCGCTTCATCTCATTCCGAGGCGACATATCATTGTAGAACATGGCCCTGAAACATTTCATCAAACATATGACAGGCATAAGTCCTCACGATCATCAAACAAGGCGAGCACTCCGTTAATGGAAAAGTAGGAATTGCTACTTTTCTAATGGCAATCATCAGTTTTTTCTACTTCTAATTTGCAAGATTAATAGTAACTAAGAACAAGGTGAAAATTGCGGCTACCTGTTGTTGGGGTCGGCGGTAGGTGGAACCTCCTGCTTTGGTGGCTGCTGCATCCGACCCCCGTGATCGGACCTGTCATCATCAGAGAAGGCCCTGCTGGGCGGCTCCGATGGCGAGATGCTGCTGGCCGCTTGCATCGCCATGGCGGGGATCGGCACCTGCGGCGGCGGTTGCATATATCCCATCACCGGTGGAGGCAGGCCCTGCTGCTCCGAGATCCCCATCTGGGCAAAGTGATCCTCTACAGAGACCGGCGGCGCCACAGGCTGCCGGTCCTCGGGCCGGACCCGAATCGGCGGCAGATTCGACAGGGACGGCGCCGAGGAGGTGGAGCCGAAGGAGGAGTTCTTGTCCAGCATCGGCGAGTCGGGCACGGACTGCACGTCGTGCTGGTGCCTCGCGGCGGCGGCCGCGGCGGCGAGCTTCTGCTGGTTGACCCGCTGGTCCTCGGCCGGGCCGGAGTTGGGCACCCCGCTGCGGGAGTGCTGCGAGGCGTTGTCGTCCTCGAGGCCGAGGAGGCAGTTGACGGAGGCGGAGTCGGTGGAGATCCCGCGCGGGATGCCGTCGAAGGAGCCGGAGATGGCGCTGTTGAGCGCGTCGACGAACCAGTTCTCGGACTTGGATGAGTCGTCGAGGAGGGAGCCGAGGGAGGAGGAGGACTCGGGCTTGGCGGGGAAGAGGAAGAGGCGGATCCGGGAGGTGCGGGAGGAGGCGCCGCCGGAGGAGGAGGTGGCGGCGACGCGGTCGTACTCGTCGACGAGGTTGTCGAGGTCCTCGTCGGTGGAGACGGAGATGAGCGAGTCGAGGTCCTCGTTGGGGAGCTGGTACTTGAGCGTGAAGGGCTGGCCGGCGAGGAGGGAGCGGGAGAGGCGGCCGTGGACGTCGGCGAGGGAGGCGTTGCGGTCGACGGCCACGATCCGGGTCTCCCCGCCGAGGTAGCAGAGGGACTTGTCCGTGGGCCGCGGCACGATGCGGCCCCCGAAGCTGCACATGAGGCGCAGCCGCCCGCCCCCGCCGCCCGCGGCCGCCGCGGCGGCCGAGGACGGGAAGGGCTCGTCCCACGAGTCCCCGCCGCGGCTGCGCGGGGACGAGTCGGTCGACTCCGGGTAGCCGGCGCCGGCGGCTGGCGGCGCCGAGTCCATGGGGACGGGGGGAGGGGATGGGACGGGGGATCGATGGATCGATCTCCCGGGGGAGGGGCCGAATTTCCGCGGGTTTTGGGTGGGGATTTTGATTGGATTTCGGGGGCTGGATTGGAAGGGGAATTTATCGGAGAGAGGGGAAAGATGGGGAGGGGGGAGTGGGCTCCGCCGCCGGGAAATATCGCTGGTTTTATGGGGAGTTGGCCGCTGCTGCCCTGTGATCTGGTCTGGTCTGGTCTGGTCTGGGTGTACACAGCTGCGGCGCACGGCGGCGGGCGCCTCCGCTCCCTCCTTCTACTGCTGTCACGCCACGCCACGCCACCTAGAAACAACAATGAATGGCTGGTATTGTACCCCAAATTAGTTGTCAACTTTTTTGGGATAAAAGTGGTTTTAGCCTGGATGATGACCTGGAAATCGTGCTTTCTTTATAAAGCGGACGGAAGCCTTTTTCGTGATGATGCCCTGGCGGTTGTTGGGCGATATTGTAACACTTAATTTTGAGTAATGCAGAAATAAAATCGCAAAAAGAAAAACGTTTACAAACGCTAAGAGGAGACGGGGCAACGAGGAAGAGGATATTTGAGTTTACAAACGCTAACATTTTGTGAAAACCTATGGAGACATCTTTTCATGCTTGTCCATAGGAGAAAATCGTTGGCACCACAAAGAAACCCTCGCGGCAATGTCGGATGATATCATGGGTATGACACATGTGAGAGTTCAGCACAACATCGTAAACATGCCTTCTAGGGATTCTAGATGACCGTTGTCATGCCCACCTGTCAAATACAAATTGGTATCCCGCTGGCACTGGGGTGGGGCGTGGGAGGGGGTACATTTGTACTTTCAGCTCATCCTAGGTGAATACAGCTGTGACACACGGCGGCGGGCGCCTCAGCTCCCTCATTCCACTTTTTTCTTTTCTTGTCACGCCATGCCACTGAAGGAAATATGCCCTAAAGGCAATAATAAAGTTATTATTTATTTCCTTGTATATCATGATAAATGTTTATTATTCATGCTAGAATTGTATTAACCGGAAACATAATACATGTGTGAATACATAGACAAACAGAGTGTCACTAGTATGCCTCTACTTGACTAGCTCGTTGATCAAAGATGGTTATGTTTCCTAACCATAGACATGAGTTGTTATTTGGTTAACGGGATCACATCATTAGGAGAATGATGTGATTGACTTGACCCATTCCATTAGCTTAGCACTTGATCGTTTGTTTGTTGCTATTGCTTTCTTCATAACTTATATATGTTCCTACGACTATGAGATTATGCAACTCCCATTTACCGGAGGAACACTTTGTGTGCTACCAAACGTCACAACGTAACTGGGTGATTATAACGGTGCTCTACAGGTGTCTCCGAAGGTATTTGTTGGGTTAGCCTATTTCGAGATTAGGATTTGTCACTCCGATTGTCCGAGAGGTATCTCTGGGCCCTCTCGGTAATGCACATCACTCAAGCCTTGCAAGCATTGCAACTAATAAGTTAGTTGCGGGATGATGTATTACAGAGCGAGTAAAGAGACTTGCCGGTAACGAGATTGAACTAGGTATTGACATATCGACGATCAAATCTCGAGCAAGTAACATACCGATGACAAAGGGAACAACGTATGTTGTTATGCGGTCTGACCGATAAAGATCTTCGTAGAATATGTAGGAGCCAATATGAGCATCCAGGTTCCGCTATTGGTTATTGACCGGAGACGTGTCTCGGTCATGTCTACATAGTTCTCGAACCCGTAGGGTCCGCACGCTTAAAGTTCGGTGACGATCGTAATTAGGGGTTTTGTGTTTTGATGTACCGAAGGTTGTTCGGAGTCCCGGATATGATCACAGACATGACGAGGAGTCTCGAAATGGTCGAGACATAAAGATTGATATATTGGAAGCCTATATTTGGATATCGAAAACGTTCCGGGTGAAATCGGGATTTTACCGGAGTACTGGGGGGTTACCGGAACCCCCCCGGGGGTTAATGGGCCTACATGGGCCATAAGGGAGAAGAGGAGGGCCGGCCAGGGAAGGCCGCGCTCCCCCTCTCCCCCTAGTCCGAATAGGACATGGAAGTGGGGGGCGGCGCCCCCCTTTCCTCTTTCTCCTTCCCCTTCCTTTTCCAACAAGGCAAGAGGGGGGAGTCCTACTCCCGGTGGGAGTAGGACTCCTCCAGGCGCACCCCTTGGGCCGGCCGCACCTCCCCCTCTCCCTCCTTTATATACGGGGGCAAGGGGCACCCCATGACACACAACTTGATCTTCGTGATCGTTCCTTAGCCGTGTGCGGTGCCCCCTTCCACCATATTCCACCTCGGTCATATCGTAGCGGTGCTTAGGCGAAGCCCTGCGTCGGTAGAACATCATCACCGTCATCACGCCGTCGTGCTGACGAAACTCTCCCTCAACACTCGGCTGGATCGAAGCTCGAGGGACGTCACCGAGTTGAACGTGTGCAGAACTCGGAGGTGCCGTATGTTCGGTACTTGGATCGGTCGGATCGGGAAGATGTACGACTACTTCCTCTATGTTGTGTCAACGCTTCCGTTGCCGGTCTACGAGGGTACGTAGACAAACACTCTCCTCTCTCGTTGCTATGCATCACCATGATCTTGCGTGTGTGTGCGTAGGAAATTTTTGAAATTACTACGTTCCCCAACAGTGGCATCCGAGCCTAGGTTTTATGCGTTGATGTTGTGCACGAGTAGAACACAAGTGAGTTGTGGGCGATATAAGTCATACTGCTTACCAGCATGTCATACTTTGGTTCGGCGGTATTATTGCATGAAGCGGCCCGGACCAACATTACGCGTACGCTTACACGAGACTGGTTCTACCGACGTGCTTTGCACACAGGTGGCTGGCGGGTGTCAGTTTCTCCAACTTTAGTTGAACCAAGTGTGGCTACGCCCGGTCCTTGCGAAGGTTAAAATAGCACCAACTTGACAAATTATCGTTATGGTTTTGATGCGTATGTAAGTATGGTTCTTGCTAAGCCCGTAGCAGCCACATAAAACTTGCAACAACAAAGTAGAGGACGTCTAACTCGTTTTTGCAGGGCATGTTGTGATGTGATATGGTCAAGACATGATGCTAAATTTTATTGTATGAGATGATCATGTTTTGTAACCGAGTTATCGGCAACTGGCAGGAGCCATATGGTTGTCACTTTATTGTATGCAATGCAACTACGTTGTAATGCTTTACTTTATCACTAAACGGTAGCGATAGTCGTGGAAGCATAAGATTGCGAGATGACAACGATGCTACGATGATGATCAAGGTGTCGCGCCGGTGACGATGGTGATCATGACGGTACTTCGGAGATGGAGATCACAAGTACAAGAAGATGATGGCCATATCATATCACTTATATTGATTGCATGTGATGTTTATCTTTTATGCATCTTATCTTGCTTTGATTGACGGTAGCATTATAAGATGATCTCTCACTAATTATCAAGAAGTGTTCTCCCTGAGTATGCACCGTTGCTAAAGTTCTTCGTGCTGAGACACCACGTGATGATCGAGTGTGATAGGCTCTACGTTCAAATACAACGGGTGCAAAACAGTTTTTTTAGATGAAAGGCATAAAGCCCGACTTCAAATTAATGAAGCCATCAACCGGCTAGGATACATGGTGCTGATTATTACAAGGCAAAGCTTGGCGAAAAACTGAAAGATTACAAGTGAGATCACACTTCGACAGACCAAAGTGCAAACTTGCCAGTACAAAGCAAACAAGACCAAGCCGCCGGAGGTACTTCGCAGACCAGAACAACGAGTACAGAGACATCCACGGGGCACCGAGCAAGCAGTGTAGAGGAGGATCGTGCCTGCAGGGAGGAAAACATTGGATGTGCCACAACCCGGACGTGCAAATGCTAGAGAGGTGACCCAATCTCCTCTACATCCAAGCCGTGCCACAACACGGGGATGCCGTAAACTGGCTAGCGGAGCACGAGCGCGGCAGGGCAGCAACCACTGAAGGATAGCAGGGCACAGCACCTCATCTCCACCACCGCCGGAAACCCGAGCAAGCACTGCACCGTAGCCGCCACCAACCAAGAACAGCAAGCACCCAACCCAACCCCTACCCCTAGCCGACGCCTCCAAGGAGGACCACGACGATGAAGCGCCGTCGACGGCCGGCCAAAGCCTAGATTTTCATCTGGGGAAAACAGGGGAGGGGGAGGTGGAGGGAGGGAAACTCAACGCGCCCTCAGGAGGGGATTCAGAGCCAATGCACCGCCGTCGCCGAGGTCGATGCAGAATCGACCAGGGGATTCCCCCGTTCCAAGCTTCCTCCACCACACCTCAGGGCCAGATCTAGCAGCACGGACGCGCTGAATCCAGACCGGTGAGGGGATGCAGAGCAGACGGAAGGGGCCGGAGATCCGATCTGGCGGAGCCACCGAAGCAGCCCGCAGCAACGAGGCACCTCCGCCGTCCAACCGCCGCCCGCACGGCCGGAGGGACGGCCAGCACCCGCAGCGCCCTCCACCGGAGAGAGCGGCGCCGCCCACCAGATTCAGGGCCACCGCCCCGGCAACCAGAGCTCCCTGCACGGATGCAGGGCAGCAGGGCCTCGCCACCACCTTCACGGGGGCCGCACGGCGGCCGGCGGCGCCCTCAGGTGGCGGCGGGGAAGGGGAGGCGAACGAGAGAGGGGGCTCGAGAGGCTAAGGTTTGGTCGCCCCCGAGTCGCCCACTCAGGGCGATGCGAGAGCCGGTGGGGGGGGCAGGATGGTGCAAAACAGTTGTACATGCGGAATACTCAGGTTAAACTTGACGAGCCTAGCATATAACAGATATGGCCTCGGAACACGGAGACCGAAAGGTCGAGCGTGAATCATATAGTAGATATGATCAACATAGTGATGTTCACCATTGAAACTACTCCATCTCACGTGATGATCGGACATGGTTTAGTTGATTTGGATCACGTGATCACTTAGATGATTAGAGGGATATCTATCTAAGT